CTACTATTAAGTAGGTTTTTTAACTATTTTTTATAGTACTTAGTTTATTGTCTAGGTTAGGGTTAACTTCTTTTCCCTTTTTGACTATAAATATAGATTTTCCTTTAATAAGGTATTATATTTCTGGTTTAGGTACTGGTGCCTATTTAAGTTTAACTTCTATATTTTATTTTGCTTTTAGTCTTTGTTATTTTTATTATTTACTTTCTTTCCTTTTAAACTTAGGGTTCTTTTGTCTTTTTATATTATATGCTTTTTTCTTTACCTGTTTTTTACTTTTGCTTTGCTTATAAATGTCTGCTATAAGAGCTGCGTGTCTTAAGATAGGTTATTGTTCTAGGTCTAGATATAGGTAGTATTTCTTAAGGGTTTCTTCCTTGCTAAGGAATAGATCTTAAATATTAAGGGATAGATTAAAGTTTCTGATATATCTTATAGGTTTAGTTATATTATAGCTATCTTTGTAGGTTATATTAATGGTTCTGATTACTATTTGGGGTTCCTTATGCTTCTTAATTATATTAATTTTCTTATTTTCTAGGATTAGTCTATACTTTTGGTTAGTCTTAATAGGGTTCTTATATTCTAAATTATAATGTCCTTTCTTACTGCAGTTTTAGTAAGTGATTTTGGATTTATCTTTCTTAGTTATTCTGATAATTATTAGTCTAAAGTTAGTGCTATAAGAAGTATTATTATTTTATTTCTTTCCCTGGTTAGTATTATAGTATGGCTTATTTCCCTGGCATCCTTGGTTATTTCAGTTATAGTAGATTTTCTATTAGAATTATATATTATTAACCTTAATAGCTCTGCTAATATAATTAACTAGTATCCTTAGTCTAGCTTCCTTATAGAGTTCTACTTAAACTATTTCTTTAAGTCTATTAAAAAAGAGTAATATAAGGGGTTCCTAGTCCTATCCTAGCTTAGTGGCTAGTTAGAGAAATTTAATTCTATACTCTAATACAGATTTAGTTTATTAAAGTACTTTAATCTTTCTTTCTACTTAGCTTTTTTTATTAACTGACCTAAATACTTATTATATAGCTTTCTTAAATTTAATATAGTTATTATAAATTTAAAAAGTTCTAGGTAGCAGTTTATCTTTTAGTATAGTGGTAATTACTTCTAATATAGGTTAGAATTATTAAGTGGTATTACCTTTAAGACGTCCTAATATATATATAACTCTATTACTATTATTAGTAAACTGGTTTAGAAAGTAGCTTATATAGGCTTAGTATTAAGTAAGAAAGGTAGCTAGTTTAGCAGGGTTTCTATTAAATAGTTTAGGTGTATTAGGTTTAAGAATTTCCCCTAATTCTTTCTTATTTACTATAATAGCGGCAAGTTAATATATTTCCTAAATTGCGTTTTAGTAGTTAGCAGCCTGCTATGCCTAAAGCGCAGTAGCTTTAGCTAAGGCTTATCTAAGGTTATCTATTTCAGTTATTATATTAGTTATCTGCTAATAGAGCTAGGCAATATTAGAGTTAGTATTACTCTTAGAATTATTATCTATATCCTAATTATTATTAATAGGTGCTAAAGTAGTATAAGGTACAGCATATTACTATATAGGGTTAATATAAGTAGCTATTGCATTTATATTACTTAGCGTTATATAATATAGTCTAAATAAGAGCTATTAATATATAATAGTTAGAATCTAATTATATTAAACTAAGCTATACTAGGTTTATTATTAGCAGATTATATAGGGCGTAATACTAAGCTTATTAGAGTATTATGTCTCTTAATAGTAGATTTAATGCGTATTAGGCTTGATTAATATAAAGAAGTTTTAATTAATAGCTAGTAAGCTAGAATCTATAAAAGTGCAAATAAATGTAGTCTATATACTTAGATGTAGTTCTATAGGAGCGATGCAGTATAAGGTCGCCGTTGGTCCTAGAGCGATGCAGTCCTGGAATGCTATCAGTCCTATAAGTATTAGTCCTTTCCTGATTAGTGGGTTAAGTAGAGAAAATTATAGGGTATACGTGATATAACCGCTGGGATCGTAACATTCTTAAATAATAGTCTGCGGCTTACATTGTGCTCTAATGATAAGATAATTAAGATCTGGGATATTACTTCGGGTAAAATTATATGAGACCTGTTTGTTAATACAGCGATAAGATACCTCTCGTTCGACCCACTGGATAACTCCCATCTTTCTACAGATATTAGAGGTTTAAGCTTGGAGTTAGGTCCCGTCGAATTCATTCCCTCGACCGCGGAGGTTTCATGCCATGACCACAGCTATATTGGATACGGTGTCAGCACTGACAGGATATGGATTGTTAACAACGGATGCAAGGTGCTTTGGCTGCCTCCCGAGTTTCGTTTTGGGGTTTTTGCCGTGGCGGGGTTAATAATTGCTATAGGGTGTTCATCAGGTCGTGTCTTGGTGATGCGTTTGGCGATGAATAAGCAAGAAGGGAGCGTGAACGTACTGTAGAAGATAATGACGCTGATATGAGGCGATTATTGATAAGAAAGCGATTTTAGGCAGCTATCCCTTTAGTCGGCATAGCCCTTCAGAGCGGTCATAACAGGGGAGTCTAACCAATCAAGATATGCTAATCAGGCAGTACACGTCAAATGTGTATAGATAATCCCTGTAGTCATTAATCTATGAACTTATCTACCTGTGATAAAAGTCGAGCTCTTACAGAAGGGTGGCAAGTTTTCTGACCCTATGCCGGGGCAAGCTCTTGTAGCCGCGGGGCGAGATACCTGCTGAAGGGCTATGCCGACTAAAGGGATAGGAGGTTATCAGGCCACCATCATTAGACTTTAGTAAACACAGTGCTTTGTGACTGCAAACTGTATCTAGCCTTAAGCGGACTAGATCCAGCCCCACTCTTTAAACTCACAGATCGTGCATGAGGGAAACTGAACCTGAAAGGTACAGTATTGAAAGAGGTGATTTGGCAGCTTAAGAAATATAGGTGTCTATGACAACATCATTTTGAAGTGGCATTAGTATGGAATAAGTGATTCTACTACAATGGGAACTATCCATAATTATAATCCTGCCTATACTAGACTACAAAGAGCAAGAAGAGAGATATCAAGACGCACTTATAAAGCATTTCTGATAGTTCAATCAACCTCAGTAACTACGATAAGATATTTGCCATAGGCGCCAAGGAGTCCAGTTATAAGGATATCAATTGTTATCCGGCGCTGTGGCAGATAACAACGATTCTTCGAAGACCAGAATCATCCACAGAACAGCATTTCAGAATTTTCTTAGTTAACGTAATGCCAATAAGGTAACAGCTAGATTCATATTATATCAATAACGGCATTAAGCCACCGTGCGCCACTACACCCTATCTAGACCCCGAAAACCTGGCTCTTTATAATCCTCATGCTTATCCAGCCCCCAGGCAAAGAGCATGGGAATCCACCAGTAGACGTCCCCGTGGCATCCTGCCTTTTCATTGCAACATCAGGTCAATCACATATAGTAGGGACGGCATAAGACCAAATCTTGCGACGAGATCATATCATAAGAATCCCGATCCTAGGATACAGAGCGGAGGCGACGATAGGGGGCCAAATCATTCTGCACATCTCATAACAAGGTCCCATCCATCCGAACTTAAACCCAGAATACACAGCATGCAAAATGGGGTTAAGGATAGACTGATTCGCGGTATTAAAGAGCTTGTGTTAGTGTCCGAGCAACAAGATAAGCGCTTAGAGCTAATAGAATCTGCTATTGCAAGGATCTACTAAGGAGAGTTAGATACAGGGAACCGATAGATTAAGAAGCAGGGCTGGACCCTAATAAGTTTGCGTTTATAAAATGCTAAAACAATTATATAAAATAATAAATCTTTTATTAAAGCTTCTCTGAATCGGTTATATAATACAGGTAGTAGGCATAGGAATATAATAAATAATTTAATAATAACGATAACTATCTAGGGGTATGGTCCTGCCATTACACTAAAAGAAGAAGAAAACGCATTCTATTACAACCAAACTGATGAGAGAAGCGCAAGCTGCTTGACGCATGGTGACTGCATTGGATAATACAGGAGCACTGGGCCTTAGAGTTGGTGTGGCTCTTGTAGAGCTATTCAAGCCCGGGTGGCCGGTAGTCGGGATGAGAGGGAAATTTTGTAGCACTTACCTCATCATTCGGGGGCGGATGCTCTCACCGGAATGGGCAGTGAGGAAGTGCCCCACCCTTAGAGCATTTTCTTTTGGCGTGGGGCTGCGACTTAACGCGTCTCCCATCCTGCCAACGCGTCAAATCCCGCGGCACCGGTAATCTTGCTCGGTCTCCAGCAAACAATCCAAGGCTAACAACAACGCAATAATGACGCTCAACAATGCCGGCGAGATCAGCGCATCTGGAAATGCAAAGGTGCAAATTGGCAACAACAACACTCATTTGACGTTTCAGATTCTCGATTCGCCGGTTCTCGTAGAGCAGATTACTAGAGCCATGGAACACCCTCCCAGCACGCAAATCCCGCACAGATGTTGCTGTCCCACGTCGTCAGTGACGACAATCCATCGTCGTCCCGACTCATGGATCGGAGGGGAAACCACCTTGCTGATACCGTCATATCGCGCGACAAGACAAGCCGAATGCGTCCTCTTGCCTGTGAAGATAGGCACACCTCTGGCTTGAGAAAGTCAAATTCACGGTCATACGGCCGCAGCAGATGCCTGCTTCGCAAGAATCTGCTTTGGCTCCTTCACCAACACCTTCGCCGTCACCGTCTCGACCTGCTTCCCAACCAGATACTCGACCGATATCCCAGCCCACTAACCATAGTATCGACCGAATAGATTCAGAAATAGTGTATGCGACGTGCGATCGTTGTAGGCAAAGACAGCGTCAAAGCTGGATACAGCGCAAGTGGACTTTACTACCTCTCTTCAGATCAGGGCATGTGGAATGTCAACCACTTTATATCACTATATTTCTTCAAAAGTAGGCTCGATCGATCCCCAATTCGCATGCCTCACTCGTATTCCTCGTCGCTATTTTCCTCGCCTTCATCCTCGGTGGACAGGCCAACATAGTCTTCGCCGTCTTCACAGTGCTCATCCTCGTCAACGCTATCTCCACCATCGTAACTAGACTCGCTTGAAGACTCGCTCGTGTCGTCGGGAAACTTCAGGCGTTTGCTCTCGTGGTCATCGCTGTCCCAATCTCGAGCCCGCTTGCTACCCATACATGGGTCTGACGCATCTAGATTACAATTCGTGATAAGACCAAAGCTAAGCCGAGAATTGCGTCAGAACTCCTACCCTGCGTAAGATCAATGATCTCCTCCTCGGTGAGGTCGGCGGTCTCGTCTGACGTTTCGTCCTCGATGACTATAAGAATTGGAGCGAATTCTAGTGCAAGGAGTTAGCAGGATCGGCGAGGACTTGTTCCCTTGGGGCCTCATACCGGTCGTGAGGTCGATAGTATTATAAGTATTATTATAAGTATTGTGGCAATTATTGTGATTATTGCCTAACTGCATATTTGCACGGTCGGAAGCGTGGAGAGTCTGTGCTGTATTGGACGCCATATTGTTGTCGATCACCACGTCAACTGGCACGTTTTGGCGAGTAGTGTTGTGCGAAGCGTCGCACGAAAGACGGTGCAACAAAGAGAGTTAATGAGCTTCGACTGCCAACGCGCACAAGACGCGTCGGGCCGTCAGCACACCAACTCGGCTACAATCCTGGTGGTGTGGACAAATCAGCCACTAAAATCTCAATTCGTCCAAACGCGAACAGCAACGCAAATCGTGAAGGCACTCCGCAGCGATGAATTCTATTGTCATAGCATGTAGCCGTGGGGATCGGCCAATCGTAGGTCGGCGATGAATCGATTGCGGTTCGGTTCGTTGTAGTTGTGGACTTCAGTGTAGTTGTTTCCAACCTGAATTCTACTTTCGCCGCCAGCGTTCACATCCCGGACGAGGTTTTTCGGTCGCGCCGTGCACTCCTCGCTGGTCACCCACGCCATTGTGGCATTAGTGATGGGAAGAATGGTTTTCGTGCGCAAGCTGAAGCAGGCTCGGAGTTGGCTGCGGGCGGCGCTTAGGTAAACTACTGAGATCCCTCTTTCCTCAGCCGTACCATCTCCTCACGTGGCGCAGCCTGCACCGGAAAATTCCCAACAGAGACAAGAAAAACCAGCAGCAATTCACCTCACACGACCAGCATGGCCGAAGTCTTCGGCACCGTGTCCGGCGCTTTGAGCGTGGCGGCTTTGTTCAACAACTGCGTCGACTGCTTCGAGTACATCCAACTGGGCCGTCATTTTGGTCGAGACTTCGAACGCTGCCAACTCAAACTCGACATCGCCAAGATCCGATTGAGTAGATGGGGCAAAGCAGTCGCGATCAACGATGACCCACGCTTTGCCACCAACACGCCTGATGACAGAGATTCTCGACAGGTCCAAGCGATCCTGGAAGAGATCGAACTGCTCTTCCAGACCGTACAGAAGTCATCGAAGCGGTACGAGATCGATGCCAGGAAAGATGATTTGGTGCGCTTCGAAGACAAGGACATGCAGCCGGTGGTTCGGGAACTGCACAGCCGACTGGGGGTTGTCGCTCGCCAGAGACAAAAGCGAACGGGTTTGTTAGCGAAGGCGGCGTGGGCGCTGTACGACGGCAAGAACTTTGACAGGCTGGTAGAACAGATCACGGGATTTGTGGATGATCTGGAGAAGCTGTTTCCTGTGGAGACCACGCGTCGTGGGCTCGTAGAGCTAGAAATTGAGGAGGTCGACGATGAGCCGAGCTTGATGGCTCTGCAGGACGCTGCTGCCGGTACCGATAGTGTCTTGTCCGAGGCCGTTACGGAGAAGATTGAAGGAATCGCAGGGAGAAACTATGCAAAGGACATTAACAGCGAAGGGATGGCGAGGGTGCGAATCGGGAACGAGTGGAGCGAGACTGCCTTTACTCGTGGCACGGGTATCGCGGATCGGACCGTGAACCTAGCCGATTCTGTCGCGGCCAAGGGTACGTCCGCGGTACACATAGGGAACCAGTATGGCGGACGGGGCATCTTTAATTAGGGCCGGATTTTAACTTTAATCTATCTACCTTCTATATGTTATTTCGTCCAAGGGCGATGTATATACTCATCCACGTCAAAAGCTGCCATTCTTGTCGAAATGAACGCTATTCATCTAATAAGTTCATCGTATGTCTTGGGATATACTCTCGAGACCGATGCGACCCCTCAATCCTCGCTTCAGTATTCCACCGGGCATCCAGCCTCCCAGTGTCCCAGTGTCCCCTGCATCCAACCGCGGATATGACTGAGAATAAGCGCTCTTCACGAAACATGAGCATGTCATCGGACTCTTTTTTCACCATCAGCCGTTGCCTGCCTCCCGACATGATGTCGTGCTGCGACGGACCAATCATTATGAGATGCATGATATACTCGTTGGATACCTTAGCTTGACTCTGCCACACCACAGCCTGGTTAGGTATTCACCGTAGTACCCGATAACAGAGCCCTCTCACCTCTCTACACACTCTCGTCTCGGGCTATCGATCCGCAAGCTAAACCACCTTCGAACCAGCTTCCCTAACCGTCAAAATATCGTCGTTTGCCATGGCCGACGCGGCAGGACTCGCCGCAAGCATCATCGCCATCATCGGCCTATCCGTCAAGTCGCGACACTGTGCCTCCAATACCCCACCGCCATGGCAACGTCCTGCCCTGGTTCGCTTATCTTCGGGTGGCGTCTTTTAACTCTAGTGTCAGGGGCCAGCGCGCCGTTTGTCCTTCCGACGACCATTATGGTCAATTTTCTGCACCGTCTTCTCCCGTCAATCAGCTCTTGTCCATATTTTTGGCCGAACAACAGCTTCACGCTTTCTCTGTGGTCGGCGACACGCACCTCAGCCACCATATATGTTCCCAATGTGCACTGTAGATGAACCTTTTGCAGTCACAGAATCTGCCTCATTGTGAGTGCGATCCTCCAGTCCTATCGCAGCGCTCAACGCGTTGGCACTCCAATCGTTTCCCAGACGCACCTTGGCGTCCTCATCGCCTTTGATCTCACTGGCGTAGTTCCTCACGGCAATAACCTTGACCTTCTCCTTGATCGCATCGGCCAAAAGCGAGTCGGTCTCAACAGCGGTTTGCTGAAGCACCGTCAGACTTTCCTCGTCGCTGATGTCTTCGATCTCCATTTGAACAAGACGATACCGCTGGCCCTCTTCGGCGGGAAACAGCTTTTCCAATTCGTCAACAAAGCCCGAGGCCTCTCCAATCAATTTCTCGAAATTCTTCACGTCGTAGAGTGCCCATGCTGCTTTCTTCACCAGACTGACCTCCGTCTGCTTGGGACGGCCAATTTTGGCCCATCGCGCATGGAGGCCTAGGAACACAGGCTGGAGGTTCTCATCGCTGAGGCATTCGAGATCTTCCTTGGGTGTCTTACTCTCGTAGCGCTTGGATGATCTTTGGATAGTCTTGAAAAGTTTTGCGATCTCTTCAAGTATTTCCCGGACCTCCTCTGACTCGGTATCGGTAAAACGGGGGTTCTCGTTGATGTTAACGGCTTCTCCCCATCTGTTCAATCGCCGTTTCGTGATGTCGAGCTTGAGGCGGCACCGTCCAAAATCTTGCGCGAAATGGCGACCAAGTTGAATGTACTCGAAGCATTCCACGCACTGCTGGAAGAGGCCTGCGAGACCAATAGCACCGGTCACGATATCAAAGACTTCCGCCATTCTCGGGGGGCTGGGGGGTTGTCAAATTTGTTGAGATGCTGGTGATTAAAGGAGAGGGGTATTAGACGGAATTGGTTCCCGTGGCTAAATCGATTGCGCGCGACGGGGGTCCGATGAGCCAGGCATCCACGCATGTCTTGGCCTAAGGTTGAATGCAACGGCTTGATTGGCCTTTACGCAGCCGCGTGGCCGTGCTGACACGTAGGGATATTGCACCTCTATTGGTATTTAGCCTGATATGGTAAGTCCGCTAAGAACCCACGATTCAATTTCAGATCGAGGATGGCTAACTCCTAAGTCACCCCGTCTGCCCCGGCCCGGTAGCGTTGATCGAGCTGCTTTCCCCTGACAATGCCAAAATGGCTTCTTGAGCTTATATTCCCAACCACCTACAACAATACCCTTCAGAAGATAGGCGAGATGACCTTTATTTATTTCTTTCTTTTTCTCTCCCCTCTCAGCGGAGACCTTCCTCCTTTGCCAAGGCTAGCAATTGCGCCAATTCTGTCATCCCCATGCGTAACCAGTGTGGCTGTCCATTAAGCCTCTCCTACCGCACCCTGCATAGGTGATAATTCGGTCGGAACTGGGTTTCATTGGCTTCCAACATGCAGAGCTGAAAATTTGCTTGCGCTTCGAGGTTCAGCTGGTGGCTTGGCGCGCAGCCCGAAATCCTTCACGCGAGTGACCAAGGAGAATCAGACTGCTACAACAATCCTTTTTGCTGACGTTGTTTTTCTACCCTCTTAGGGTGACCTCGAGCACGAAAATCTCTCGTCATCGCCCATTCTACGGCGGCATTAGCGAGCACCGGTGAGGTCATGGCACAGTCGACGAGTCACGTCCAGCTTTTGAACGCCCATGACCAAAGCAAAGTTCAAATTGGGAACAACTACTACAACGACTCGAACCACGATCGATGCATCACAGACCTACGATTGACAGACCCCCGAGACGATAAGGAGCGAATCCAAGATACAAAGGGTGGCCTGCTTAGAGACTCCTATAGCTGGGTTCTTAATCATGACAACTTCCAGCGATGGCGTGACGATCCACAGAGCCTGCTGCTCTGGATCAAAGGCGACCCTGGCAAGGGCAAGACGATGCTGCTATGTGGTATCATCGATGAGCTGAAGAAGGAACGCGACAACTGCCTATCCTATTTCTTCTGCCAGGCCACTGAGGAAAAGCTGAGTAATGCGACGGCCGTGCTGCGCGGTCTGATCTACCTTCTCGTTGTCCAACAGCCGTCGCTCATCTGGCATGTTCGGGAGAAGCACGATCATGCCGGCAGGTCTCTCTTTGAAGATTCGAATGCCTGGTATGCCTTGCGGGGAATCTTGATCGCTATTCTGAAGGATCCAGCCCTCAAGGGTACCGTCATCATCATCGACGCGCTCGACGAATGCGTGACTGGCTTGCCGGAACTCCTCAAATTCATCATCGAGCAGTCGTCTTTGACTTCCCGTGTCAAGTGGATCGTGTCTAGTCGCAACTGGCAAGATATTGAAGAGAAACTCGGCCGTACAAAGCAGAAGGTCAGGCTTCAGCTCGAGCTGAACCAAGACTCCATCTCCAAGGCTGTCGACATATACATTGGATGCAAGGTGAAGGAACTGGCAGACCTCAAGAACTACGACAAGGAAACAAGGGACGCTGTTCAGCGCCATTTGGTTGGCAATGCCGATGGTACCTTTCTGTGGGTGGCCTTGGTCTGTAAAGATCTTGCAGATTCTAAGGCGGCCCGAAAACGGCATACGCTCTCCAAGTTAAAGTCATTCCCACCAGGGCTTGATCCCCTCTACGCGCGAATGATAGAACAAATCTCTATTTCGGATGATACGGACATTTGCAAGGAGATACTGGCTATTGCTTCGGTCGTATACCGACCAATTACGCTGGAGGAATTAAAGGTTCTTGTTGAGTTGCTCGAGGAGGACGACTATAATGACCTGCCACAAATCATCAAGGCGTGCGGTTCTTTTTTGACTCTTCGAGAAGGTGTCATCTACTTTGTCCATCAGTCAGCCAAGGATTTTCTGATTAACAAAGCATCTGACCAAATCCTACCCTCTGGCACCGCGCACCAACACTATGCTCTCTTCTCAAGGTCGCTAGGAGCCCTGTCAAAAACTCTTCGACGTGACATATACAGTCTCAACACTCCAGGATTTTCCATTGACCGGGTCTCACCGACTAATCCCGGCCCATTATCCTCAGTTTGATATTCATGCGTCTACTGGGTTGACCATCTCCACGACTCAGATTCCACAGAGGTCAACGATATTCTACGGGATAACGGCAACGTCCATGGATTCATCCAGGAGAAGTACCTATATTGGCTAGAATGTCTTGGTCTCCTACGGAGCATGTCGGAGGGAGTCAAGGCGGTACATAAGCTTGAGGCTTTAGTGGTAAGCTGCTCTAGATGTATATTAGAAGCCGTCTGATAATGTTATAGAAAAACGCGGAAGCGCAGCAACTGACAAAACTGCTTCGAGACGCTCGCCGTTTCATCCTTTCCAACAGACGGCCAATCGAGATTGCTCCATTGCAGGCCTATACGTCCGCACTCGTGTTTAGTCCCGAACACAGTCTCATTAGAGAGCTCTTTAAGAAGGAGGAGCCGGGTTGGATGATATTGAAGCCAAGAATGGAGGCAGATTGGAACGCTTGCCTGTAGATGCTTAAGGGCTATGGTAATTAGGTGACCTCGGTGGCGTTATCAGCAGATAGCCAGCGTATTATATCAGGCTTATATAATGGCGCGGTTAAGATCTAGGAGGCGGCAATAGGCGCATATATACAGATACTTAAGGCCTATGGTAATTTGGTGATATTACTAGTATTCTTAGTAGATAGCTAGTATTTTATATTAGGCTTATATAATAATACGGTTAAGATCTAGGAGGCGGTGATAGGCGTATATATATAGATGCTTAAGGGCCATGGCAGTGCCGTAGTATTATTACTGGCTTTCTTAGCAGATAGCTAGTGTCTTATATTAGGCTTATATAATAGTATAATTAAGATCTAGGATATAATAATAGGCATATATATACAGATACTTAAGGGCCATGGTAAGTTAATAAACTTATTGGCCTTCTTAGCAGATAGCTAGCATATTATATTAGGCTTATATAATAGTATAGTTAAGATCTAGGAGGCGGCAATGAGCATATGCATGTAGATACTTGAGGCCTATGGCGATTCGGTGTTATCGGTGGCGTTCTTAGCGGATGGCCAGCGTATTATATCGGGCTTGCCTGGCATGGTCGAGATCTGGGAGGCGGCGACGGGCGCGTGCGTATAGATGCTTAAGGGCCATGGCAGCGCTGCGGTGTTGTCGGTAGCGTTCTCGGCGGATAGCCAGCGTATCATATTAGGCTTATATAATAGTATGGTTAAGATCTAGGAGGCGGCAATAAGCGTATATATATAGACACTTAAGGCCTATGGCACTTTAGTAAACTTAATGGCCTTCTCGGTGAATAGCCAGCGTCTTACGTTAGGCTTAGATAATAACATAATTAAGATCTAGGATACAGCAATAGGTATATATATATAAATACTTAAGGGCTATAGTAATTAGGTAAACTTAATAGCCTTCTTAGCAGATAGTTAGCGTTTTATATTAGGCTTAG